TCCTAGAGTTTCACTTTATTTACGAGTTAATGTCATTTACAAAATTTAAATAAAATATATTAACCAAACGATATCTTGCCTAATTTGTTACTAAATATTTCTACACAATCTTTCTATATATCTTCAAAAAAGAATTCTGTGAATTTTACTCCACAAAATATGCATAAAACCGATTTATAGCAAATATTTATATTAACATTTTGCATAACGATAAAACTACTAATTTATAATAATCAAAATATTCAAATAGAAAAATCATATAATTTATATGATAAATTTAAAATATATATCAGTAGTATAAATTTAAAATTATTCAATGAACGGTATACCACGGGTGAGATCCTAAAATTATTGGATTTTATAACAATTATAATTTATTTTCGTGGATTTTATAACACTAATAATTTAGTTAACGGGATAATATAGACGGGTTTATATGGGATGACGGGTTTGGATCGATATTAATAAAGAATGGTATATCACGGATGAAATCCTAAAATTAACAATAAAAATACAATTATACAACCTTAAACACAAAACAAAACATACAATATTAACAAAACAAATACAATTTAAAATTTAAAAATTTTAGTTATAAAAAAATCGACCCACGGTATACCACGGAGTAAAATATTCAAAATTTTAAAATTGACCATACATCGTTACTTAAAAAAGTGTATGTTTTCGTATCTATACTTCAAAAATTGAAACTTAAACAATAGTAATCATACACTAAATAATACATAGATAGATATATACATTTAAAAATACAAACTAATATGATATATTCTTCTGTTAATCTTTGAAAAAATAACATTACATTGTTTAAAAAAAATATAGCTCCGCGGTGTACTGCGGATTAAATTCTAGTAATAATACAAACCTGCCACATATCAGCTAAAATGTAGCATGGTTTACGTGGTAAAAGGTCACAACACAAATCACATAGGGTCTGATTGGTAACAAGCTGTTAGCTGGAGCGGTTAGCTGGAGCTGTTAACTGTTAGGGAATAGTGCAAAGCTGTACAAAAGAATAAAACACGAAAGCTGTACAAAAAAATAACGCATAACAAATTTTAAAAATTTATTCTGATTGGAAACATCATAGCGGTACACATAATAAATAATATTAAGAATTTAGAAAGAAAGAAAAAATTATATACAATATACTTTAGTATATAATTACATATGAAAATTAAGATTATATAGAATGAACAATATTTTATTGTTAGAATAATAATATGAATTTACTAGTCCTATAATAAATAAAATTTTCTTTATTTTGAGCAATATAACATTCCAAAATAATTGTTTGAGAAAAAAACCATTATTTCTAATGAGATTTTTTCATAGGCTGTATTATTTACTTTTTCGGAAATCTTTATCTGAACATTCGAGACTTTTTTTTTTGCATTATACATAGTTACAATTATATTTTATAAAGTTTAATTATGCGGTTAATAATACGGTTAACCGTGCGGCTAATCGTACTGTTAAATAACGGTTACAGTTAGTATATTTTTATTAACCGTAACTAATTTAGTTTTACGGTGAATGGTTATGGTTTTCAACCGTTTTATACAGTTACGGTTGAAAAACGGTCCAGTTACGATCCAAAATACGGTTATGGTTAGCTTTTGGTCATGCTTACTAGGCATGACCAAAAGCTAACCGTAACCATATGTTGTACCGTAACCGGACCGTTTCTCAACCGTAACCGTATAAAACGGTTAAAAACCGTAACCGTATAAAACGGTTAAAAACCGTAACCGTATAAAACGGTTAAAAACCGTAACCGTAAAAAATAATTAGTTACAGTTAAAAAATATATTAACTGTAACCGTTAATTAACGGTAAACATATGAAAACCGTTATTTAACCATATGGTTAACCGCATAAATAAAACTTTAAAAATATAATTGTAACTCCATATAATGCAAAAAAAAATTATCGAATATTCAGATTAAGATTTTCAAAAAAATAAATGATACCGCATATGAAAAAATCTACGTTCTAAAAAATGGTCTTTTTCTCAAACAAATATGTTATACTGTTATTTTGCTCGAAATGAAGAAAAATTGGTTTGTAACATATTTTTTGATTTTATGAAAAGTATTATAATAAGTTAGGTAACTCGTAAGATTTCGCCTCCGATATTTACCGTATTGTAGTCATCAAATAACTATAACCATAATTATCCGTAACCGTTGTAACCGTAACCGTAACCGTATTGAACTGTAACCATTATAACCGTATTTAACCGTAACCTTTATAACTGTATTTAACCGTAACCGTTATAACCGTATTTAATCGTAACCGTATTTAACCGTAACCGTTTTAATTTATTTTTGTTTTTGTCCAAAAAAACAGTTTTTTTTTTTTTATAGTGTACCGTTTTTCATAAAGTTTTTGTGATTGGTAACTGTCAAAGCTGTACAGCTTTAAAATTGGTTACCAATCATAGCCATAAGAGCAGGATTATCGGCAAGTCCTTAACTGAATCTTAGGTTTTAGATTGATTTAATTTAAATTAGAAAACAGTGATAACAACTAAGGAACGTTCCTTAGTTAAGGAACTAAAAGCATGATTATAGGTGGTCTCTTAGAAATTAATCTTAGCAATATTTAAGTAATTTATTTGTAAAAGTGATTGTTAAGAGATAGTATTTTTGAGTTAAGATTTTTGTGTGATTAATGGTAGGCTCTTAACATGTGGTTCTTAGAAAAAAAATATTAATATAAAAATAAAATTTATAATTATAGAAAATTTAATAATTGTTGCAAATTAAAAAAATTAAAACATACATGAAATACAATTTATAACATAAATAACATAAAACACAAATGTTTTAAACTTAATTTCTGGAAAACTCCAAAAACACGCTCGACATCTTTACAAATTTGATTGGATAAGTGTTTAATTAGTTTATAATTCACATACTACAAATTTGATTCAAGAAAACGAATGTGATCATGGTGGATGTCAGAATCCGGTATGATGATTTTTAATAATCGTCAAATGTATTATAAAAAATTATGTTTAAAATTTTAATCTCTATACTATTAAAAGAGAAGTACAAATGTACTTGGGTCGGGTTTTAAAAAAAAAATAACCCGGAATTTAGCTAATCGGATCTTCCTAAATTAAAATCTAACATTGTTTGGGTATAATTACAAAATAGTAAATTGATTTCCGGAAAATTGGCGACCAAGTTAAATATGATCTTCTGGATTGTCCTCGAGATCAAATTTTATTCATTAATTCATTAATTTGTCAAACCTTCCTCAAATACGTCTAAAAATTCCTCAAATCTCGCCCACAATATATTACATACTTTATTTTGTATTCGAATCATAGAAATAATTATTACGATAATTACTGCTATTGCTAAAAACATATATTATGATGAGATTTAAATGCAAAACGTATCTTCAAAATCTTATTTAGCTTTTATACTTCCAAATATCCAGCAAATCTCGCCCACCATCCCAATAACAACTATTGCACAACTCATTGCTTCCACTAAGGTTAGTTCTAATATGACCATTTCAATACCATACTACATTATTTTGTATTTTGTATATAATCAGTACTTATTTTGTTTTTAAGGTTGGCCAAGTGAATCTTCAGTGTCAGATTTATGGCATAGATAAAGATTGGGGATGGTCATATTTATGCTGCTTGACATGTAATAAAAAGATAAAACAAGTTGGTACCACTGGTAGTTCCACAAATAAGTCCAGTTCTGGTCTTGAACAAATCTTTTGGTGTGGCTACTGCAATTCTAATGTCACTAATGTCATGGCAAGGTGGTTCTTTAATTAGTATTGAGATATATGTTTTTCCAACATAGTTAGTCTAATGCGACAATTATTTAACAGGTATAAACTTCATCTCAACGTTAATGACAACTCTGGCGAAACCAAATTGATTTGCTTCGATAATCCTGCGTTTTTCATGGTCAACCTGCCGGCATCAGCTTAGATACCTACTCCTTTTAACGAGGTACTCATTATACATTATTTTTATTAAGCATTATACTTTTAGTCCTATAAGTTTAAACGAATTATGTTTTGTTTTTACAGAGTACTGCCTACACAACAATTCCTGATCGTATCCAAAAATTGATTGGTCAAACATTCATATTCTCTGTTTCTGTTGAACAAGAAAATATATTTGAAGGATTGGATACTTTCAAAGTCAATCGTGTGATAGCAGACGATTTATCAATCACCAAAACTCTCCATGGGAAGAAGATCTTTGCGCCTAAATGAAGATTTATTTCCATTACTCTGTTGTTTTCCATTTATTAGCTCTTTCAAAAACTTTAAATCAGTCTTTTCTTTTTATTTTTCTTTAATCATCATTAATAACCGCGATTATCTATTATAATAAATAATCGACTTTATTCGTTAGATTTATTTTCACTGATGATGGGTCTGTAGGATAGTTAGATTTCATTGCAGAAGAAGATTCGAGATATCGTCTTCTTCGTTTCAGAATTTTTTATTATTTTTTTCCGATTGTTTGTACACGTATTTGACTCTTTCAACAAACACATTTCATACTGCAACCTTATTATTTGATAATATCTAAGCCCAGTTCCATTAATATCCAATCAAACGATGGGCTTCATATTGGGCCCTATTATAACAAATATCTAACACAAATAACCATGTCTTATATATTATATAATTTAAATTCGTCTACACTACATTCACATTCCAATAACGACAATACACAACAAACAATGTTAAAAAATCAAATCACAAACAAACGTAACAAAAAATCTTCCCCCGCGGTGGTACCGTGGGCTCTAACCTAGTTTTGTAGGTAAAAAGCTAGTGATTTTAGAGAAAATGAGAGGGCAAAAATAGGGAAAATGTTTCTTTTGTCGTGATCTTATACGCAACCTTAAATTCTAATAAATTATTTACAATGAAAAGAATGGTTTTTTGTTGGTTTGGTTACACGAACTTGAAGGAAAAAAAACAAAGTATAAAGAGAGAGCTTTTTATTGGAATGGAGACAAAGCTGATATAGAAGTTACAACATATAGAAGTTTTAACCAAGAAATCTCGTCTTTCCCTATATGCTTTAACCATCTCTGCAATTGTATCTCCTCCAGCTTTGCCTAACCCAAGTGCAGCAACACCTGCGCTTTCTGAGCAATGCTACTAGCTCCTGAAGTAACCTTTAAACAAAAACCAGAACCGATTTCATCTCATGATCACTGCGTTTTTCGATAAAGATTTGGAGAGAAATATGTTTATACGTAGATACCTAGCCTTGTAATTTACTGCAAGCTGCCACAATATGTTTAGGACCAGCAAGATAACCAAGCCTCCAACCCGTCATTGCGAAAGCCTTTTACATGATATACAATCAGCAAAGAATTCGATCGGTCGACATTAGAAGCCAACTCAATAATAAAAACTTTATCTTTGAGAAACCGTTTATTGTCAAAGTTCTTTCATACATGTCTGGCAAAGAAGCAAAGCTTGTGTGTGTTGCCGGTGCATAAATAATGTGTTCACATATTTCACCCGAAAGCACCTATAAAATAAATGAAAGAAACAGAGTTATTTTCAGCTTAAACAGTTCAGCAAAAACAAACAAACTGAAAAAGACCAAAGAACGTTTTATTGCTATATACTAGAAGTCTTGGATGCTTAGCAATGATCCGTGCAATCTCTTCAAGCAAACTCTTGGGGTAAATCAATATATCCAATTTTTTAAAAACTGAAATAGAAATCAAATCTTTTGGATTTTGCTTTAAATATTACGAAATAGCAATCAAAAAACTCAAAACACACTGATAGATGCTTCAAATAACCCTAATTTCACTAACTACGAAAAACCCTAAATTTCCCAAATCTATGAACCCTAATTTCAAATCACTCAAATACCAATCAAATTACATCAATTAGTATTTATAGAATGGGATTCCTACTATGAGAAAGAGAAATCTTACGGATTTTGTCAGATTTCTTGAAATAAAACTCGGAGAACTTCATAAATGACTCTCCGATTTAAAAACCTTCCTTCGCCGATTAGATGAACCAGAGGCGCCGTGGAGAGCCGCCGTCGGTTGAGATGATGAAGATGCCATCCTCCGATTCACCGGCTGTAACAATTAACGGCGGAGACGAAGATTTGAAAGCATTTTCTCTTCGTTTTTTTGCCGTCGGAGAGAGAGAGAGAAAGAAACACGGGCAAAAAAAAAAATTTCTTCTTTAGTTTTACACGTGTCTCCCCTCTTAGCTTAAGTAACGTTCCGGAAGAAAAAAAAAAAAAAAAAAAGCTTAAGTAACGTTCCTTAGCTAAGCAACGTTTCAACGTTTCTTAGCTTTAACTCTGATTTATCATTTAATTTTAATTAATTCTAACCTAAGATTTTTGCTAAGATACTTCCGATAAAGAGCATCTTTATAGGTAAACTCTTAGCAAATTCTTAGGTAGATCTTAGGCATTAATTAATTTAATTCAATTCAAAAATCAAACTTATAGTTAAGAGACGTCTCTTAGCTAAGAGCCAAAAGTGAAGCTAAGAGACGGCCACATGTCCGTGTATGAATGGTTGATGAGTTAAATTAGGCATGGATAAATAAACCGAACCAAAATCGGTACCGAACCGATATATTTCGAATAACCGAAAATATCCGAAATACATTTCAAAATAATTAGTTATTTATAGACTAAATAATCAAAAATACTTGAAAATATATAAAAATAGTAAAAATACTCGAACATAACCGAAAATATCCAAAAATACTCAAAAATAACCGAAATATCTGAAAATATCCTTAGCAAACTAACCGTATGAAGAATGCATCAACAATTGAAGAATGATTTGGTCGAGTATATATGGACTAAATATTCCAGAAATTAAGTTTAAAACATTTGTGCTTTATGTTATTTATGTTATAAGTTGTATCTCATGTATGTTTTAATTTTTTTAATTTGCAATAATTATTAAATTTTCAATAAATATAAATTTTATTTTTATATTAATATTTTTTTCTTCTAAGAACCACATGTTAAGAGCCTACCATTAATCACACAAAAATCTTAACTCAAAAATACTATCTCTTAACAATAACTTTTACAAATAAATTACTTAAATATTGCTAAAAAATATTTCTAAGAGACTACCTATAATCATGCTCTAAGGAACATTTTCTACAGTTAAGAGGTGCCACGTGGCGCACGATAATTGGGTGTAAAGGAGGTGCCACGAAACCGTCACGCGTTTCTTTCTCTTCTCCTCCTCTCTCTCTCTTTTCACGCGTTTCTCTTCTTCTCCAGCGACCAAGGAGGTAATTTCTTCCATCCTGGAGGATTTTCTTTGAAATCTTGTTACCTCGAGCAGAGTACAAAGCGTTTCGTTGATTGCGAGAGACCCCAAATTGTTTCAATTTAGGGTTTTCTTTGATTAATCAATTGGTTGGCTTTGTTCTTTCGTCTTGGATGCGTTTCGTTCTTATCAGTGTTTGATTTCAGTTATTTTGCTTTACTCTTAGTTAATTCGTGTCTTCACTCTTCTCTAAGAGTTTCAAGTTTAGATTTTTGTTCATCGATATTGCTCAATTGCCTTACTTTTAATCGTTCATTGTGGTGTGGAATCGGATAAATGCTGATGAAACGTTAATGCTGTGAATGGATATTGTAGCTTAGACCACTTAGTTTAGTCAATTCTGTTGACGAATCAACGCATTAACCTTTTGTGGCTTTGGCACAGTTTTATCGCAATTGAGTCTTGAAGACCACCGGTAAAGGATTTTAGCACTTCAGATTTGTCTCAATCCAGTTCATTATTTTTGTAAAGCATCAGTTTTTAGTGTTTGAGCATTGAGGGATCCTTTCATTAGTTGTGTTCGTTTATGTTATTGTTGATTTGTGTTCTTGACTCATGAAACTGTTATTGTTGATAAATTACGTTGATCGAGGAGTGATCGAGAGTAATGTTGTTAATGGAATCTCAAAAACATGTGATGCCAAAGGTGTTTGCTCTGCAGGAACTGGAATTCAATGAGTTTTTTTTTCTGAATTCTAATTTTTAGAATGATTATGTTTTGAGTTTATGAGAAAGACTTAAATAGTTTGGTAATGTATTTGGTAATGTAGCTTCAGTTTCAGAAAATTTACTTATAAATGTAGGGTCCAAGCAAGTTTGTTGCCGTAGAAGCAGTATCTGCGAATGCATGTTCTCGGGCCAGGGCTGCCAAGGGATTATGAGAGCAGAGAAGTCAAGTAAACAAGATCAGAGATGAAATGTGGTGAGAAGGCAGAGATTATGAGAGCAGAGAAGTCAAGTAGAAGATAAGTGTGGTGTCAAGTACTAGAAGATAAATGGTTCTTGTGCATTTTAAGTAGTAGACAAAGTTTTTGTATTGGTCGGTTTCAATAAGAAAACACAAGAACTTGGGTTTCACTACAACAAAAACATTTGTTTATGCAATTCAAAAGGAGTGTAGTTACAAAAATATTTTTTTTTCTTCTAAGAACCTCTAATTAAGAGTCTACCAATAGAGACAAATAAAATTTAAAACCAATTAACAACCTCTTAAGTCAAAAAATTCAAAAGTAATATTAAAAATATTCCTAAGATTTACACTAAGAGCTTACCAATAAGGGTGCTCTAATATTTTTCATTTTGTTTAATAAACACGTGAATTACAATTAAACATTAAAATGGATATACATATATTGGATTTATTGTTGATTGGACCTGCCTCCACTTCCATTTCTACCTCATAATTGAATATTGGGATTATTGTTGATTTTGCCCTTTTTTTCCCAAAATCTTTTGAAAATGCCATGCTTACAAAAAAATCTTTTGGATTTGTCATTTTTTAACACTTAAAAATGTACTTATACCAAATATTAAACCCTAAGAATAAATAGAACCGACTAAATCCAAACATAACGGATAAAACGCATGTTAAATCACTCTGAAAAATGGCAAAATCCACAAACTATTTAAAAAAAAAAACAAAATCCACAAATGCCATTAAAAAAAATGGCAAATCCGTAATTGGTTCTTGAATATTAGTGGATTCTTTTGATAATTCAGTGTATATGCATAGGGTAGGATTCCAATCAAAGTTACCTTTAAATTACTGTTGTGACTTTATCCAATTATCTTGTCAAAAACTGTATGGCCTTTGCCCCATACCTTATGTAATAATGGTTATTATTTTAAAAATATATATATATTGTTGTGAATATATCATTTCGCAGAAAAGAAAAAAAAAACTGTTGCGGAAATTATTGTCTTAACTTTAGCTAGAGTGTTCCGTGTTATCTAGAGTGTTACCACGAGATATAAACCATGTTAAAAAAATCGCTAGGCGCTAGTCGGGCGCTCAGGTCGGGCCTAGCGCCTAGCGAAGAAATTGGAGATTAATCGAGGATTAGTCGGGAATTAATTTTAGGGCTTTTTTGTTTAAAACAATATATAAACTATATTTTTGCCAAAGTCACAAAGTTATAATTGTGGTCTAGTGTTTTCTGACCAGGTGTTTACTTCTTGTCATGGATTCAATACCCGACCAACACACCATCATTCATTTTTTTTCATTTTTTTTTAAAAGAGGGTAAAACTGTAATTTCTTGTATCATCTTCTTTAAGATATTCGACTGTGAAACCCTAATCTACAGCGGCCATGAATGCTTTTTAATTAAATCAATCATTTTAATGTGTTTTTGTTGTCTTTTAGACCATAAGCTTATAGATCTAACACATCCTAACTTAATCCAAACTTATAAAAGAAAAAAAAAAACAGAATTTTTCTTAACAAATCCGATTATTTAACCGATTATACAAAAATCCCGGCGGTAAGGTGCCGCCGAGCGACTAGCCGCCGTGGAATCGGCCGATTTGGCCGAGTTTTTGAACGGGGGATATAAATGTCATTTACAATTTTAAAAATCAAATAAACTGGAAACATGTTATTTCGTGGTTGAAGATTAATGTTATGGTATCCAACCGGGATTATGATTGGGTTTGTATTCATATTTTTGAGTTTTAAGACTTTTCGGTTTATATATAACCAATATAAAACGTACTTAAATCATATTTTGGTATAATGTCTGTTTTAGTTCATAGTTAAAGAATTTTTAGTCAAATTTATCTTTAGTTCATATTTGGCATGCAACTTTCGATTTTTTTTTTGCTAAGAATGTTAATATTTCATTAAAAAATGAAAACGATTAGGAGTTACAACAAAGTAAATTCTATATTTTTGGTCCTATGACAAAAAAGAATAAAAAACATGTAAGCAAAAAAATCAATAAAGCGATAAAACGATTTTGATGAATTCCATCGATGACACTTCATAGAGAAAGATACATGTTGTCAAACGGTGATGACCGATTCATTGATAACCAAGCGAAAGGCCGCGAACACTGAACCAGCAGCGGCGAAGTACACAAAGAACTAAAACACTGACTCTCCTCGCATCACATGATAGCGGCTTTATGAACTTTCCATGAGCTCTCTCAGAGCGGAACCACACGAACCAGAGGAAACGATAGCATTAGCTCACTCTACCAAGCTTTTTCTCCGACATCGCATAGCACAGAGCTAAATCCAAACATTACAAAACAACGCTACACTTCCGAATGGTCTTACTAGCTCCTCCAAAAGCCAAGTTTTCTAATCCACAAACTAAAGCACAAGACAACACTAATCAACTCCCCATAGAGGTAACAAACAAATCAACACATCAAAACCAGAGCAAGGCAACAACAAAGAGGCTTTAGCATCACACGGAGAAGCAAGGACTCGCAAGCTGACCATGAGTAGTAAATAGGCAACGTTGCAAGACTTTTAACACATATCTTGAATCATGTTTATCGAAATCCTAATTCTAAACATATGGCACTGTGAAGACTGGTGATAAAAAAAAAAAGGCTTCTCGTCAGGGACGTTATTGGCGACGGCGAGCATCGACCTAATGACTTGCTCGCCAACTTTGTTACCACGACTCTTGCCCTATTGATAGTAAACCTTTTTGGTGATCAATTTATATATGCTATCGATTTTATAAGTCTTTTTATATAATATTCCTCTTTTATCATGATTAATATGCTAATTTTCGCCTCCACAAAACCAAAAACCATCATATGCAAATGGAAGGACCAGTCGCAAAGAAGTCAAAGTTAAATGACTAAATGAGCATTGGTTCTTCTACAGGTTTTCTTATTTCATAGTTCTAAGGTGAAACCACATAAAATGATGTAATTTAGGCCAATTTATGCACATATCCCGCAATTGCTTGATTTATATACAAATGAAGCAATAAAAGCCATAATTTATAAATTTTTAAGTATCTTTGGCTGCATGGAGCAAACAATATTGAGATTAGGTTGAACCACTAAATGAAGTATTTTATTGCCGGTGTTAATAGAATCGCCGGGTAAAGCTACAGTTAAGAAGTCAGAAACTGGCTAAGGGAAATATGGAGAAACATGTTAGTTATTTTTCTCTTCGATGTTCAAACTCAGGACCTTCAAGTCCCTCCTCCTTTAGCTGGCTATAGTCGTGATGCCGTTTGAGCTACCAGCTTTCTTCTCTTTTTAACGCGATTTATATTTTCATATGCAGGACCATCTAAAATTATTTGTAGGCTAGGCATGACCACGAGCGGTTACGGTTATTACGGTTACGGTTGATTAACCATCGGTTATATACAATTATAAATTTTCTTTAACCGTAACCTTAACCACTATATATACGGTTAACTACGGTTACGGTTAACTACGGTTACGGTTACAACGGTTACGGTTAAATACAATTACGGTTATTTGATGATTACGATACGGTTACTATCAGAGGCAAAATCTTACGAGTTATCTATCTTTTTATACTACTTTTAATAAGATGAAAAAGTATGTTATAAATCAAATTTTCTTCATTTCGAGAAATATAGCATTACAATATATTTATTTGAGAAAAAATCATTTTTGCTAACGTAAATTTTTTAATATGCGGTATCATTTACTTTTTAAAAAATCTTTATCTGAACATTCGATATTTTTTTTGCATTATACGCACTTACAGTTGTATTTTTAAAGTTCTAACTATGCGGTTAATAGTGCGGCTAACCATATAGTTAACTAACAGTTTTGATACATTTACGGTTAATTTTTATTTTTTAACCGTAACTAATCTATTTTTACGGTTAACGGTTAAGGGTTTTAACTATTTTATACGGTTACTTGACGGTTGAAAAACGGTTCTGTTACAGTACGAAATACGATTACGGTTAGCTTTTGGTTATACCTATTGTAGGCCATGTTTAAAATATTAATAAAAAATTATATTAGTTGTGGTTCTGTAACGATACTAAAACCATCTTTATTGATCATACCCAATATAAATAACTAAAACAGTTTTTATAATTAATTTTATTATTAGTTTAATATGAGTGTCTAAAAGAGAGAATATTAGTGTTAATAGGAAAACACTATTAAAGAGGATGGGTGTCTAAAATTTTAATTTATAAATTTTTTTTTAAAACACCCAACCTCTCCAACTCACCAACTCACCAACTGAGATGATCTAAAGAGCCTAGAGGAGATTCGCCATATCACGTCTCTTATTTTTTACAACGTGATATAGCAAATTTTATTTTATGAAACGGGCCATGTTCACCGCTCTACTTGCACGTGTTAAAGACGGTTCTGCTCATAAGAATACTAAAATAATACGGTGGGATCATAAATCTATATATATAATGAGGCAATCCTCTCTCCATCTAGCCTATACACATCAGCAGCCATGTCATACTTTCTGTGGAGCCCACATTAAATGAAGAATATTGAAATAATAATTGTTTTAATAATTAAAAGTGTAAAAAAAAAAAAATCTTCTTCTTCAATTGATTTTATTTTAAAAACACGTTTAAAAAGAGGTCCAATCTTTCAACAACACACGATCACTAATTTATCGAATATGTTATATTTGAGCTTCTTTGACCAATAAAAGAAAAAAAAAACTTCTTGAAGAGAAACGTTTTTCAATGTTGTATTTTGTTGGAAGGCCAAGTCGGGAGAACGGCCTATTCCCCCCTGAACTATGTTGCTTTATCGCTTACATACACAAAACTTTAGTCTGTGCCTAAACTATCATGAACTTCAATATAATTTGAATTTTCAACACAAACTTTAAAAATCCGGTGGAAACCCTCAAATTGCTAGACGGTGTTACTGTTCCGTTAACGGATGCTGACGAGGACGACACGTGAGCGTTTAAAACGACTGCGTTTTGTCATACGTGGACTCTCATTAGAGACAGAGACAAAACGGCGTCGTTTTGATTTGAGCAAAACGACGTCGTTTTGTAATTTGGGGCTTTTAGTCGACTTAGGGTTCATCTTCTTCCCTTTCTCGAGCCAAAATCAGAAATTGAGAGGAAAGACAGAGTGAGACGAAGAGTGAGACGAAGATTGAGACGAAAGAAGATTTGAGATTGAAGATACGGTATATGGGTGCTTCGATTCGAGAAATCTGAGAACAAAAAACAAGATTTTTCTCCGATAATGAGGTTAGTCGAGTTTCCATATCTTTCAATCCCAGATCTTTCATATTCACTTCCTTTAGGTTACGAAATTGGATGGATTGCGTTATACATTCTTAGATTTACATAAACATTGTGTCAATTTGAAGATTAAATTGATTAGCTAGTAAATTTATTTATTGTCCTCCATGTGTTCGACGAAATGCTTAAACGAGTTCTTATGTTTTTTTTTTTTGGACATTTGATGCAGTTCTGAAGAGGAGATTGTTGCAAGTTTTGCTTGCTACCACAGTGGAAAATTTGAAAATGTTTCAGGACAGATTTTTTACGAAGGTGGTGGTGTTCGGTTCGTTGAATCAAAGCCAAGTGAGTTGTTTACACAGTTAATGAATCAGCTTCCGGTGAGTTTGTATGGGCATAAAGTTTGGTATAAACTGCCTTATGATAGATTTGAGGAGAGGAAATCAATCTCTAATGGTGATGAAAATTTTAAGAGAATGTGTTTGGCTGCAATGTGGACGAAAGCTGTTGATATCTTTTTGGAGCCTGAAGATGTGGAGCCTGAACGTGTGGAGCTTGAAGGTGATGAATAGGATAATGCTAACAGAGAAGAGCAAGAAGTCCACGAAGAAGCAAGAGATGAATGTGGACAGTTTGATGAAGAAATAAGAGTGGAAAGAAATGTGGCTGCCTTTGTTGATGTAGATGACGAGTATGATGAGTATGCGACACCCGTGGAGTCAGATTGTGAAGTTGATGGTGATGATGGTTTTAAGAGATACATCAAAGGTAGTGGTGAGCTGAAGTATAAACAAGTCTTCGATAGTATAGATGACTTCAAAAAAGCAGTTGTGGAGTATGTGTTGAAGTCAGGAAGGAATATCAAGTATACGAGATGGGAGAGCACAAAATCAGAACTTAGATGTGCTAGTGGATGTCATTCTGAGAAAGGAGCTGAAGAAGAAGAAAATGAGGAGACTGCAAAAGATAAACCAGACACTGAAAGAGAGAATTTAGAGACTGGAAGAGAGAGTCCAGAAACTGCAAAAAAAAATCCAGCGGAGGAGGAAGAAGAGCATCAGCCATGTTTATGGAGGATCTATTGTGCTTATGAGACAACAGTGGAGAAGTATGTGGTTAAAACATTCAATGATGACCACAATTGTGTGAATACTGGGTATAGCAAGATACTTACTCAAGAAGTTATTGCTAGGCTGTTTGTGAATGATGTGAGAGATAATCCGCAGTTGATGCCTAAAAACATCAGACAAGAAATCCAGAAGCGTTGGAGCTTAATTGCATCTACTGATCAGTGCAGAAAGGCAAAAGCAAGAGCTTTGGAGATGATTCAAGAGGAGCATGATGAGCAATACTCAAGACTCAAAGATTACCGCCTTGAGCTATTAAGGTAAGATCAATCACTGATTCTTACATTGTTCTGATTTTTTGTTTAAATTAACATGGTTTGCATTAATGTTTTCTTTGTTTTGCTAGTACAAATGCAGGTTCAACTGTGGAACTAGATACATTCCAGCAAGATGGTGGACTTGATGTCTTCTTCAGATTTTATGTCTGCTTTGGTAGGATAAAGAGAGCATGGAGGAGCTATTCTCGGCCAATATTTGGTATTGATGGGTGCTTTCTCAAGTACTTTACAGAGGGTCAGTTATTGGCTGCAGTTGGAAGAGATTCCAACAACCAGATGTATCCTCTTGCGTGGGCTGTGGTGGAGAAAGAGAATGAAGACAACTGGAAGTGGTTCATTGGAAAGCTGCAGAGTGATTTCAGCCTAGGTGATGGTTCTGGTTTTACTGTCATTTCTGATAGACAAAAGGTAAATCTCAATCTTCTTATTTATTTTGATAGACAAAAGGTAAGTCTCTTGATTCTTATTCTGTCATTTCAGGGTTTACTAAATGCGGTTTCTCAGCTATTACCACATTCTGAGCATCGGATGTGTGCAAGACACATATATGCTAACCTTAAGAGTAACCATCCACATAGAGCAGAGATGAAGAAGTTATTTTGGAAGGTTGCAAAGAGCTACAACACCGCACAATATGATAAGAGTATAGAAGCGTTGAAGATGTATGACATGAGTGTCTACCATTCAGTGATGCAGAAGAATCCAAAAAACTGCAGCCTCTGCTTTTTCAAAACAACATCTGGTTCTGATGATGTAAGTAATAACATCTCTGAGTCATTTAATAATGCCATTAACGCTACAAGAGAGATGCCAATGGTGGAAATGTTGGAAACTATCCGGAGAAGAGCAATGATCCGAATAGATCTCAGAAGGAAGAAGGCAAAAAATCACAAAGGCAAGTATAGTATAAATGCGATGGAGAGGCTGCAATTGGAGATGAAGAAGATTGTAAACTGTAAGGCATGGCCTGCTGGTCCAGGTGAGTATGAGGTTAAGGAGAAGAAATCATCATTCCAGTTATACTTGGGAAAGCATTCTTGCAGTTGCAGGAAGTGGGACATGTCAGGCATTCCTTGCCGTCATGCTTTGATGGTGATTACAGACAAGAAATTGAATCCGGAAAACTACATTTCATCTTGGTATTTGACTTCTAGGTGGAGAAATGAGTACAATGCATATATAGATGCGGTAAGAGGCTGCAACTTCTGGAGGAAATCCGGTGAGACTGAGCTTTTGTTACCACCAAAACCAGAAGGTAGAAAGAGAATCCCAAAAAGAATCAAGGAGAGGAATGAATCACCACAGAAGAAGAAGAGCAAAGGCAAAGAGAAGGAGCTTAAACTTTCTAGAAAGAAGAGAATAATTCATTGTGGAATATGTGGTGGAGAAGGGCATAACACAAGGAAGTGCCAATTCTTTGGACCTGCTCCTTATAGACGTCCAAAGAAGGTTACAGAGAGTGCAACAGTTGGATCATCAAGTCAGCCAACACAAAGCCAAGTCATTGACTAAACTCTCAGGTTTGTAGATGATGCTCTATAATATAGATTCAGTATATGAGATTCAGATTTCAAGTTATTTCCTTCTTGTTGCAGGTTGTTAAAACGGTTTGCAGGGTCTTTTTGAAGGAAGGTTTTTGGTAGTGAAGGTGCTCTGAAAGTTTTTATAAGAGCATTTAGGGGATTCGGATAATATTTTGGTTATGTATCATTGTATCTTTAGGATTAATGTTATGTTGACTTATGGATTAAGGTTTTTGTAACCAAATGATAATCCTGTTTTCAAATTATGGTTAAGTCAATTTCTTTTGAGCATTGTTAGTGCATAATTTTCCATTACATAAAACAATGTCTGACTAACACATAAAGAAGAACCAGAATCATAATCACTAACACATAAAGAAGAACCAGAATCATAATCACTAACACACAAACACATAAACAAGAACCATCAACACTACACACACAAGAATGTTCTTCAAACCACGCAATTCCATCTTGCAGCCTTGAATCTCCTTCTCTAAACCCCGCAGCTCCTTCTCAAAACCGCATACAACAGCTTCACATGAACGAGTCTCCATTGCAAGAGTTTCCATCTCAGATTCTAAAGCTTGTAAACCTTTTTGTAATGTCAAGGAAGCTCTTTCAAGTTCATCAATCTTTGGAATTATGTCTTCCATCTCTTCAACCATTGTTTCATCTGTCCACTTAAACAAGTGACCACGACCATTCTGCAACATACAAAAACACAATTCAGACATTTCTTATAATTTAAGCTCACTTACACTACAATAGCATTACCTCCTCTCCATATCGACAAGCATAAAAGAGCCTCCCTGGATTTTTAATAGTCTTTGATGTCCTCAAAACTACATCCTCTCCACATCTACATCGACTTGGAATCCCTCTTCCTTTATCACCCATCTTCGTCTCACTCTGTCTTTCCTCTCAATTTCTGATTTTGGCTCGAGAAAGGGAAGAAGATGAACCCTAAGTCGACTAAAAGCCCCAAATTACAAAACGACGTCGTTTTGCTCAAATCAAAACGACGCCGTTTTGTCTCTGTGTCTAATGAGAGTCCACGTATGACAAAACGCAGTCGTTTTAAACGCTCACGTGTCGTCCTCGTCAGCATCCGTTAACGGAACAGTAACACCGTCTAGCAATTTGAGGGTTTCCACCGGATTTTTAAAGTTTGTGTTGAAAATTCAAATTATATTGAAGTTCATGATGGTTTAGGCACAGACTAAAGTTTTGTGTATGTAAGCGATAAAGCAACATAGTTCAGGGGGGAATAGGCCGTTCTCCCAGGCCAAGTCTGGCCCAAACCCACAATCTTTAGCTCTAATATGAACTTTTGGACTTGACATTTAGGCCTATCACATAACATGTAGACCTATAACGTCTAGATGTTCTGTTGTCTCCTCTGCAATTCATCGGAAACGTCATCTCCTCTGCAGTTCATCGGAACCGTCGTTGCTTCATTCATGGCTGGAGACATTTGCTCATCTGGAATCCCATGAATAAGGTACTTAAATGCATCACTTCATTCATCCATCAATTGACAATTTTTTTGCTCTCGCTTCCATTGCTTCGTATCCCCAAATCGAAAATGAGAATTTTAAAGTAAATCAAAGGAGTATCATTCACTGACTTTTCGAATGTATACGTTACAGATGTTCTTATAACCACCAAATGTATAAATTAATAGATGGTATTTATTATCGTTCTCTCTTCACTTCAGCATCTCACTATAAAACTCATTGACATTGTAACCTAACAATTCCCAAAACTAATCATACCTTTCAAACTCTTCAAACCTTTCAAATTCAATATGGCTGACGTTGATGTTGTTGCAATTCCTGCTCAAACTGATTACTCAACTTTTGATGATTTACGTCTTGGCCGATCTTCTCAAGACGTTGTTGGCCGGCTCTTACGATTTTGGGATGCCCGTAATATTAAAAAAACGGTGAATTCATGGGCATAGTCGTCCTCTTGCTCGACGAGAAGGTAACATATAAATATATCCTTCTAAATTTCAATTTTAGTAGTTATTTTGGTCTAAAAAATGGTTACTTAATTTGTCGTGCCTTTTATTTTTCTTATATGTAATTGTTTAGTGTTAGTGTTGTTCCATAACTTAATCCATTTTACAACTATCACATGTCTGGGATTGATTTTGCAAAAACTTAGTTTTAGTTGTTTGGTTTCTTTAGCCGTTTGAATAGTCTCATCTCTACTTATGAGTGGTGATCTTAAAGTGAAATGATAGTCAAATGCATGATTTATATATTCTCGATGAGAAGGTTGCGTTTAAGAATCTCCTTTCAATTTTAATATATATATATAAACATTTACACATTTTTTTTGCAGTGTTCACTAATCCACTGTTTTATCCCAGCTGTTCGTGCCAGCCAATTCCGCAATGTTTTACAAGAAGGGCGAATCTTTTGTGTTGGAGGGTTTGAAGTGGGAAGGTGCACAAACCTCTACAAAATTACTGACAACCCATTTGTCATCCGTTTCCTACCTTCAACAACAATTGTTGAAGTGAATCACGTTGGAGCTACAATAGAAAGAGAAAAATTTATGCTTCGCAAAGGAAATCATCTCCAAGCTCTTGCAAACATTAATCTTGAACTACCAGGTATAATATGAACAAATACTCATGAGTAATAATTATGGAACCTCATTATATTACAATATATTTTTATTTGATAAATGTGGTGGGTCAAATAAGATTTGTCCAAAGATCAAACCTGGTTGACCCAACATCCACACAATGCCTGGTTGTCCGATTCATGTTGGATTCGTATGCATTCTAAACCTCTTAACATATTAAAAAGCTGGAAACAATTATTACATGACTAATATTTTACATTTTTCCACTAACAGGTCTACCATTGTGTACCTATCATTATGGGATGACGCAGCTGCAACCTTTCAAGCTTATCTCACTTCTGGAGACACGATAAATTCTGTCATGTTGGTAACTACAATAAATCCAAAGCTGTTTGGAGGTAAGAATGAAGTCCTACGTTATATATATTAGTGGAAAATCATAAACAAAGCTGATTTTTTTTCCTGGTTTAACTAAATCTTTGTTAGGTAATTTGTATTTGAACTCCACTCCAACAACCCGGTTTTATTTCGACCTTTCCATTGAGGCAATCAACCAATTTACAAAAAGGTCATGCTTATTACAACTAATAATTTCAAAGTACCATTGAGGTTATCAAAATCTAACCGAGTTGTTTCTTATGGAGGATGGGAATAGAAGCTACCAAGCATTTGCAAAAGCAGACACATCCGAAGGAATAAAAAAAAAGAAATGCTTTGCATTGCTGAACTTTACAAGTTCATATCAAACTCTAATGAACAGGTTATTTTTACTATGAACTACACATATTTAAATATGTAATGTGACTCTGAAATTCATTTTAAAATCATTGAACAGACACAGGAAGCTGATTTCATTTGCACCGCCAAAGTTCCTGATGTCCTACAAAAAAGTGGTTGGTCATATGTTTCATGTGCTATGTGCAGCCGCAAATTAGACAAATATGGAACAACCTTACGATGCCCAAAATGCATTTCTGAGACTGTCACTGGCGTTGTGAGGTATTAAAATATTTCACTGGCGAATTTCTTCTTGATGCAAGAAGTTTAAAAGCTGTTGCTATTGAACACCCAAAGGGTGCTAAGAAAGAAATTGATTCCATTTATTACATAGACTATGAAAACTACTACAAGACTATGAAACTAAGTTCAAAAAAAAAAAAAAAACATGTATGAATATATTAACTTCGATCAAAATAGAAAGTAGCGATTGAAAGCTGCAGAGTCCCATCGAAACTCTGGAGTCTGAAGCTGCCCTATTGTGGTGCTGGTGATGGTCCCATTTATGCAAGGAGTTTAAAAGTTGTTTGGTATTGAACACCCAAAAGATGCAAATGAAGACGGAGCTGAGTTGTTTCAAAGATTATTACTTTCTTATACCCAAATTTTGGCAGATAATTCAATGTAACATGAAACTAACAAACCCAGAAATGTGCCAAACGAAATAACTTGTATTTATGTCATTTAATTAATGTCATTTTATTTTATTTTCTAGACAAAAGAAATAAAATATTTTTCAATAAGAATTATAAACTATAAGTAGGAATACAACTTTATAATAACAAAACTGAGAAACAAATGCTTTATCTTTATTTATAATTGATCGTTCGTAAAACTTAAAACATTAGGATTTCAACAAAAGTAAAACATACATTGATACAGAAACTAAAAGCTTCTAAGCAAATAACCCCGCGCGTTGCGCGGGTCTCCTCCCTAGTCTTATAAATTACAAAGTAGAGAGGAAAAGGAAATGAACAAATCACTATAACATACAATAAATACTCATTAATACTTACATAAAAGATTGAACTAGATATGGAAATAATAATATCAATCACTTTATGCTTAACAACCCTCCTTGCACTTCTACTCCTAAAATCCATCCTTAAAAGAACCACCACAACCAAACTCAACCTACCACCGTCACCATGGCGACTTCCGGTGATCGGAAACCTCCACCAGCTCAGCCTCAATACTCACCGCTCTCTCCGCTCCCTGAGTCTCCAATATGGACCACTCATGCTTCTTCATTTCGGCCGCACACCAGTCCTTATAGTCTCCTCCGCCGACGTTGCTCATGACATCTTGAAGACGTACGATGTTATTTGTGCCAACCGCCCAAAAACAAAAGTGATTGATAAAATTTTGAAAGGTGGCAGAGATGTGGCTTTTGCCCCTTATGGGGAATATTGGAGACAGATAAAGGTAGTTAAATAATGATCAACTAGTTTTTTTTTTTTTTTAATATTTTCTTTCTATCTTTTTTTTTTCTGGCAGCTAAATAATTTTATCTTCTTACATAACGTTCAAAATTGGACGTTGCACATTTTGAACTGTTAAAAAGAAGTTCATTTACATAAAAAAAAATATAATTATACTTCCTCCGTATTGTTTTTTTGTTTTAAGTGATGTGTTATACGAAAAATAAAATTTGTTTTTAAGTACTGTTTAAAATTTTCAAATAAAAAAGTATAGACTGTGACTCTGTGATATGTGATGGGGTTATGAGGAGCTTTTTATATATAATCTAAACATCTATATCTGTTGGATGCAGAGTATTAGCATCCAGAATCTACTCAGCAACAAAATGGTCAGGTCTTATGAGAAAATAAGAGAAGAGGAGATAAAACTAATGATTGAAAAGATGGAAAAAGCGAGTTGTTCTTCTCCTCCCTCACCGGTAAATCTAAGCCAACTTCTAATGACTTTGACAAACGATATAATATGTAGAGCTGCCTTGGGAAGAAAATATAGCAGCAAGGAAGATGGGGTTGATGTTGAGAACATAGTGTTAATACTTGTTGAATAACAGTGTGATTTCTCATTAATTAGTAAAGTGACTGTACAACAAGTATTTATACTTACATGAGATTAGTAACTAACATAAGCTAAGGGAAACTTATATTAATCCTATATCTCTATAATACTAATAGCCCCCCTCAACTCTCTTAATCGGAACCTTCTTGTGGAGTAAAGAGAGTTGAAACAGACATACGTCCAAGAAGTGAGTGAAAAGGACCCGGATGCAGAGGCTTTGTCAAGATATCAGCAAGTTGATTTGCTGTTGCAACATGAAGAACTTTGTGAAAACCATCTTTAATCCGATCCCTTGTTCTGTGACAATCTATTTCCACATGCTTGGTTCTTTCATGGAAGACCGGATTATTGGCAATATGCATTGCTGACTTATTGTCACAAAACAGTTTAGCTTGAGTTGTCACAGAGATTCGAAGATCCTTCAGAAGTTGATTTAACCAGACCATCTCATCAGAAGCCATTGCCATTGCTCTATATTCTGCTTTCGTGCTACTTCTACTAGCAACATGTTGTTTCTTTGACTTCCATGAGATAAGTGAATTGCCAAGAAAAACACAAATACCAATAACAGATCGTCGTGTATCTTTGCAAGTACCCCAATCAGCATCTGAAAACCCATTCAAGCAAATATCTGTATTAACAGAGTAGAACAGACCATGACCTGGATTAGATTTGAGATACTTGAGAACATTATGAACCGCTTGTAGATGCATATCAGTAGGGCATGAGACAAACTGGCTCAACTTATTGACTGCAAAAGTTATATCTGGCCTGGTGATAGTCAAGTATAGTAATCTTCCAACTAACTCTCTGTAATATCTGGCATCTTCTAAAAGTACTCCAGTCTCTTTATTCAAAGGAACTTTAGGATCCATAGGGACTGTTCTAGGCTTGCACTGAAGAAGACCAGAGTCTTGAAGCAAGTCAAGACAATATTTTCTCTGAGATACAGATATACCTTCTGAAGATCTGGCAACTTCAAGTCCTAGAAAAAATTTTACCGGACCAAGATCTTTAGTCTTGAAAGCTTTGGCCAAAACTCCTTTCAAAGCTATCACAAAGTCATCATTATTGCTAGCAATCATTATGTCATCCACATAGACAAGAAGAGCAATAAAAGAAGAACCCTGAATCTTCACAAAAAGTGTATTGTCAGCAGGAGATTGACAAAAGCCATCTTTAAGTAGAACACTGGAGAAGCACTTATACCACTGGCGAGAAGCTTGTTTTAATCCATATATGGATTTGTGTAGTCGACAGACTGCATTAGGAGGCAGAGTACCTGATGCTGGAGTATAACCCTGAGGTAAACTCATATAAATTTCTTCCTCTAAGTCACTATGCAAGAAAGCATTTGTGACATCCATTTGTGTCAAGCTCCATCCTTTGTTAGCTGCAAGACCAAGAATAAGCTTGACACTAGCCAGTTTAGCAACAGGTGAGAAAGTCTCAAAAGAGTCTACCCCTTCTTGCTGAGTAAAACCTTTAGCAACTAAGCGTGCTTTATACCTCTCCACTGTACCATCGGCATTGTATTTGATGGTATAAACCCACTTGCAACCTACAATGTTCTTTCCTTCAGGCAACTCAACAACACTCCAAGTATGATTCAGTTCCATAGCCTGAATTTCCACATCCATCGCCTTTGTCCATTTCAGAGATGCTATAGCCTGCTTAAAAGTTTTTGGTTCTGTTTCAAGGGAATATGGTAGGACAATGGATTGATATGCTGGATTAAAATTGGTGTAGGAAAGGACTGATGAAAGAGGATAAGGACTGGTGGTTTTCTTTGATGAAAGAGTCAAAGATTGAGATAAAGGAATAGGGTTTTCTGAGAGGGTGTTGGTCATTTGAGTGAGAGAACAGTGATAGTCAGACAAATAAGTGGGAGCCTTAGCAGAACGTTTTGGTCTTGCATTAGGCACTGAAACTATCGCAGTCTCTGTAGTAACATTTTCTTGTGCCATAGTGACATTAGGGCTATTATTTTGTGTATGGTTAGATGATGATGATGCATGAGACGAATCAGAATTAGCATTATGATGAATGACAGGTAATGAATGATCAGAATTATCAATAACAGGTGCAGGTAATGGTAAAATGCTTGGACTAAAGATATCAGGTGGTGAATAGACAGTAATATCATGAAAAGGAAAAACATTCTCATGAAAAACGACATTTCTTGATACAGAAACTATATTTGTATCTAGATGCAACAGTTTATAGCCTTTATATCCAGATGCATAACCCAAGAAAACACATTTATCAGCACGTGGACTAAACTTATGTCTATCCTTCTGTAAAGTAGACACATAGCAAAGAGAACCAAATGTTCTAAGTAAAGAATAGTCAGGAGCTTTGTGAAATAACATTTCATATGGTGTTTTATTGTTCAATAGTAATGAGGGAGTCCTATTGATAAGAAAAACTGAAGTTAAAACACAGTCACTCCAATAAGCTAAGGGAATGTTTGATTGAAAGAGCAAAGCTCTAGCAACATTTAGTAAATGTTGATGTTTTCTCTCAACAACAGAGTTCTGTTGTGGAGTATATGCACATGAAAACTGATGAATTATACCATGTTAATACTTGTTGAATAACAGTGTGATTTCTCATTAATTAGTAAAGTGACTGTACAACAAGTATTTATACTTACATGAGATTAGTAACTAACATAAGCTAAGGGAAACTTATATTAATCCTATATCTCTATAATACTAATACATAGTGAGGGCATTTTCCGCACTCGTGGGTGAATTTCCTATAGGGGAATACATTCCTAGTTTGTCGTGGATTGATAAAATCCGCGGTGAGGATCATAAAATGGAGGAAGTAGATAAACGATTTGATGAGTTTTTAAATAGAGTTGTAAAAGAACATGAAGATGCAAATAAAGAGACCAAATCAGACTTGGTTGATAAGTTACTAACGATCCAAAGCGATAAGAGTGCCTTAAAACTTATCATATGGGTAAGTATAAAAACTAGTTATTAGGCATGCTAGCTTCTATAGTTTTATGTTGACGTTTACTTTGTTTCTTCTCAGGATATGTTTTTAGCGGGAACGGCAACAACTCTCTCATTTCTTGCATGGGCAATGACAGAACTCATGAGACATCCAAAGGCCATGAAGAAACTCCAAGAAGAGATTCGTTCAAGTTCACCACAAGATTTATTTGTAACGGAGAAAGAAGCTGAGAAGATGAATTATCTACAAGCTGTTATTAAGGAAGCGTTAAGGTTGCGTCCACCAGCTCCACTATTGGTTCCACGAGTACTTAGTGAAGATGTCACGTTAAAGGGATACAATATTCCAGCAGGAACACAGGTTAGATCTTTATCAAACACAGTTTAATACTTTAACTTTAAATTATAAATATTTTTAATATCAATTTATAAAAATATCATTAATTTATATTTTATTGCATCTCATTTGGTATAGCATGTACGTAGGAAAATACATGGATATATGTGTGTTACTTCATATCGTATCAAATATGTATCTAGTTATGGTCATTTTTTTAGATATTAGTGACAACATATAATGGGAACACAGGTTATAATCAATGCTTGGGCAATCCAACGAGATACTACAACATGGGGGATAGATGCAGAAGAGTTTAGGCCAGAAAGGCATTTAGACTCAAACTTGGATTTCCAAGGACAAGATTTCAAATTCATTCCATTCGGCTCGGGCAAAAGGATATGTCCTGGAATAGGATTCACATCCGCGTTGATCGGGGTTACATTGGCCAATATCTTGAAACGGTTTAACTGGAGAATGGATGTAGAACCACAAAGAGTTCAACATGACCTAACTGAAGCAACCGGTCTCGTGATTTTCCGCAAATTTCCTCTTATTGCTACTCCATCTCCTGCTTGATTCCTCGGGCCAACACTTCTCTCTTTTGCTTGGTTAATGAATAAAACATTGTAAAAATTTGTATGGCTTAATGATGTCTTTTGTTGCATATTCATATTTGACATTCTCTTCCCGTCTAATAGTGTAAAAAAACTGTTTTTATGAATTCAAAATGACAAGGATAAAGTTACATGCATGTGGTCAACATGGAAGAAGAGGAAGATCAACTTCTCTTTGGAGGGCCATGGCTTTATCATGATCAAGCTACACATGATGCACGAGACAACTCTTGTACGATTATATGGAATCACAACATCATTCTATTGCAACCGCAACTGTAAAACGAATGGGTCTTTGACACCAAGTAAATCATATTCAAATCACAAATCACAAGTTTTAGTGTGTTTTTATTATAGCCTCCTATTGTGTTTGCGCCTTCTAAGTTCTACGCGCAAAAAAATGTAATGACATACCTCAAATCCTGAGATCAATTTATATGATGGCAAGACCAGTTTTCAGATAATCCAAGCAAGAGAAAGGCAGACGCAGGATTTGGTCAACTTCTAGTGAAGTCTTCATGAGATTGCTCATTGTTTTCTCTCTATGTCTTCCCTCTGACCCCATCCCCCTGCTCACCACTAGTGATACATTACATAGCCATGGCACTTCACAAGCAAACACCAGCCCATTTCTCTCATTCTCCATTACACCCTTTTTATAAGCTCTACCGACTTTCCGTACATACTTCCCGGTTGTTACACCTTCATTTGTTCTGTCTATGTCAGAAATGTCTGCATCAGAGTGAAGGTTCACCACCATAGTTCCATGCTCATGGTGAAGTATTTTGCTCAAAGCTTTCATGAACACAGAATTGGAATCCCACAGACTATGAGGAAAGATGTCTGCTCCATCATAAGCATCCATGAAGATCAAGTCATAAGTATTACTTTGGTTCCTGAGAATGAATTCCTCTGCTTTTGATTCGTAGAGGAAGAGTCTCTCATGGATGCCTCGCCACATCACTTGGTCAATAATTTCAGGAGTTGGTAACGCACGTTTCCCGGTTGCAGTCATGACAGAGGATGCAGGGAAGCCCATTGCTCGAACCGACTCTGAGATAACAAGTGGGTCGAGCTCAACTATGTCAACAACAGCACCTAGGAGACAAATCAATAACACAATTCACATCAATTAACATAAGAATTACAGATGGAAGTTCTAGATAATGATATATAAGGTACAGTGATTGTTCCTACCAAGAATGTGTTTAGCTAAAAACAACGGTAAACTGCCTCCACCGTGACCGATGCATAATATACGCATTTCTTTCTCCCCAATAGCAACACTCCTCATATCAAATTTGGAAGCTACAAGGGAAGTCAATCCAACTGAAACCATGCTCTTCAGATCTGTAACCAAATGAAAAAAGAGTCCGGCTTATTAATAACACAGAGGCCAACTATAACAACAGCAGAGTCATCATTATATTTATCCTAAACCATTTTATACATGGAAACAAAGGACTAACACGTATTTAAACACGATAAACAAACGAGTATACAAAATAAGTAAGCCTTTAAATCCCCATTCCTTAATCTATGTTTTTGTTTCACCATTTGATTCGCCACTTGGACAATGTCGAGGAAAACAATGCAGAGACCAACTAAGAACAATGGTGGAGTTACATTTAACCTGAACCCTTTCTAACTATATAATATATATTAGCGCCATTCCTTCATCTAGTTCATATTAACAAGTCATGTTCTATGTATCCAAGTCTAAAAGCGACACACGATAGCATTATAAAGAAAGGATAAAGGGTTTATCAATCTCACAAGGAACAGCAAGACAATGAGGCTGTTGCATATAAAAAACAGAACTCGGTTGCAATGCTCTACAAGCAGCCATAACTTTCACAGTGCTTTGTCGAGTATCATCGTTAAACCGAAGCGATCGCCATTGATACCCAAGTACATTAAACCTCCCATTCTTCTCCTCTCCATCTCTAGACATTATCTCCATATACCTTTTCTCTAACCATCTCTCAGTTTCTCCCCACGAGTCTCTACTCTACATAAAGAGAAATCCTCCTAAATCAAACAATCACAGGTTTTTAAAGATTGATTCTTCACAGATACTCACAGGGAGAGAAGAAGGGTGAGCGACAACTGAAACGACGCCGTTTCCTTTAGCGGAAGTAGCTCGTGAGACTGTGTAACCACCGTCGTGAGGATCCCACCATTCCGGCGAGTAAAACCAGTCTCCTTCTTCCTTTATTACGCCGTCTCTTCCGCAGAAATGGCGTACACATGACTCGACGACGCTTAGCTTTTTTCCATGGCGTGTTGTCAACGAGAAACGTTGAATTAAATTCATTTGTGACGAGACCCTGAACTTCGAAATCGCCGGGAAATCAAAGTGGTTGATAAAGGTTTGGACTTTGACGGCGGTTCTGGTTACTGTTGCGAAACCCTTCTTAGAGAATTTGGTTAATCTGGGGTTTAAACGGTCGTATAGAGAGTTAGAGTGTCGCCGGCTAATATTTTTTTTTTCTTTTACAATTTTTTTTTCCTTCTTCTTTTTTTGTTAGCAACATTAATAGGTTTACTTTACATTTTTACTAAATATTTTTTTTTGTCTTAGATTGAATCAAATAAACCAATACTAAAAAATATTGTTAAATAATAATATGTGGTTAGGTACGAACATTTCGTGTCAAGTGGTCCACTTTAATATTTGCATTTCGTCATATTTATCTTCTTGAATCGTCTCTAGATATGTAGAGAAGGTAGGCCACTCTGTCGGGAAAAACACTATTTTTAATAGGTTTTAGGTGAAACTACTACCATTTTGTCAAGAATATAAGCCCCAAATGGTAGTTTGTTTCAGGTGTGATTGTGGTTTGAATATGGGGGTGATGTGATTTGGAAGCGATGCGATTAGCTAAAACTATGAATGGAGCTACGTTTTAAATGCAATGTGATTACTTCGTTATTTTGAATGGCAAAGCGATTTGGATGCGATTTGAGTGTGATTAGAAAACAAAATTACCAAATTAGCCTCTAATTGTATTATTTTTTATATTTTCAGTTTTTTCTTTTAGATTAATTCAATTTATAATATATGATTATATATATATATATATATATATATTTATTTCTTAAATTAAAGTTATATCTTAATCATATATATAAATCAACATCTACTCACCAATTTTAAATTTTGCATCAACCAATTTTAATTTTTGTTAACATCTTCCTTTTAAAGACATTTTAAGAATGTACAAAATCAAAAATTCTTCCATGTTTGTTCTGTTTGTATTTTGCCTTAAAAATAAAAAATAAAAAAGATGCGACGGAGAAAAGTTTTAGAAAATAAAAAATAATTGCTCGATAATCAAAATAAATTATTTGAGGGTATAATGGTCAAAATACACATAGAACATAGTTGCAGCACTTGAATTGGAGGTGTAAGTAGCGGTGTACAACGATTTGAGTTAGAGTAAAAAAGTAGGAGTTAATCGTTTGCAAACAACATCTGAATCAAACGATTGTGTAATCGTCTTATCATTCGGTGTTCTCCGATTAAGTTCACCGCACCGTTGCCGAAACAGAGTGCTATTCAGACCCATAAACGATGATATTAGTGGTCGAACCAGGGATATTTTTTTTAATATTTATAATATTATTAAATTATTTATTTGGAGCAATTATCGCTAAATTTTTGTTTAGGTATTACTATACGTGTTTTTAATAAATATAATAGAACCAAAAAATAATTTCATAATTGTTGTCATCCTATAAACTACAGTTTTTTCAATATTGTACTTAGTTTTTAGAAACACTCTACTTAATGGTCAAATTTGTCATCAATTTTTCCAAAACGAGATGCAAACTTCAGTCTCAAATCTGGGATCCGGGCACATTAAGCATCGGATTAGAAGATGGTGTGATTAATTTTCAGACATATTGTATCACTAACAACCGCCTATTATTCTTCTCGACGGTTATGGAGTCGACACCAAGACTTGCACCAATTGGTTCATATGATTGGTTAACTTTTCTATCAAATTTGAGAAAGGGAGAGCAATTTTGGATTTGTTATCCAGAGAAATATAATTGCGACTTTATCGTTTGTGGAAAGGAATCATGGATGCTTAGTTTTGACAATAGTCGGATTGCGATGTCTCCATTCATCTGTATGGATAGACAATTTTTTTGGATGGAATCTAAGTCCATTAAAACATATTGGATTGAGTTATGGATGCATCAGGTTGACCATAGATATTCTGTTTCCTCTCGTTTACATGTGGATGTGGGCAACTTTTGGCAACACAACTTGACTGATTTGGATTGGACCTGGTGGATATGGAAAGTATCAACGACCTTCAGAATGGGATTCATTGAGAATATTGGATTTGGTAGGCGGTTTCGGCATGATCTTCAAAGTTTCTCGTATATCGTATTGAGTTTCAAAAGACAAGACGTAGAATCATTACACGCAACACTTCAGTTTTTTCTTTTAAACAAAGTAATGCGAAAAGCATTTTGTAGTTTCATCTATAAGATGATAGCCAATTACGAGTATGTGAAGGGGGGACTTAACAGATTTATCTGTTAGCCCGTAAGGCTTCCGATCGGCAGCAGGGTCACTTCCACTCCTTCAGCGAAATTGTGTTTCAATTTCTCTATTTGTGTCAATGGTTGTAAATGAATGGTTCATGTATCATGTAAAACTTTTTATGATATAATATATTTGATTTGCCGAAAAAAAAAAAAAAAACACTTTACTTTTTGTGTAAAATTCATGAATAGTTATATGTTATTAGGAGAGAACTATTTTTTTTTGTGCACTAATATTAAAAAACTTTGTTTAATGTAAAGAATCATAATCAAGTTAAATGATCCAGAAAAAAATCAACCACAATACAATACCAAAAACTAATTTTTTTTCCCCAAAAAAAGTTTTTATTTGAGTATTTTGATTTTCTATAAAAGACCAATAAAATGTATTTGTGAACATATTATAAAGATTATTTAATCAAACAACCAAACTTTAGATAAAACAAACAAAAAGATGTCTCAAATGTTAGACTTAATTTATAAACTATATAAACATACAT